GTCCCAAGCAGCATTGTCATGCCAAGATCGGCGAGCATAGTCCCGGGAGCCAGGGGTAGCAGTCTCGCGGCGGCTCGGTGTATTGTGAGAGTCGTCCGGGGCCGGCTCCGAAGGTTCTGGGGCGTCGGCAGAAGGGTCAGGTCGTACTGGACGTGCAGAATCATCAGGAGGTTCCGAAGGTGCATTGGTCTCCGCAGTCTGGTGTGTGATCAAGCCCGGGAAAACCTGGTGAGTGGAGGCGACGTAGCATATAGATGCAGCGCTTGAGTTCATAGCCGTTGCATTGTCTTTGCCCTTGGCGATGCCCGCAAGGTTGCACAAGCGTTGGATTTGGTCATTTCCTCCAGCTAGGGCACGGATGCATTTGGGTGAGCGGCATATGGCCAGCAGGCCTGATGGGTTTTGTCCTTTGCCTATTTTGTAAAGCTGAGAGGTACAAATCCTGACAGCATAGCCGGGTAGGTTGTCGGTGTCTGCGATCTCAGAGGACATTCCGAAGAACCCGTAACACGGGTATTGGGTCGGTATACCGGCTTCGTTTTTTGTCCAAGTTGCCGGGCGGATGCAGTCTTCAGCAAGAATTTTGGCAACTGATTCCCAACTTGTCTTGTGGTAGATCAGGTAGGTGCCCATGTGTTCGCCACGGTAGATTGGTTTCTTCTTCAATCCTGTGGGAACCGTGATGGTCAGCAAGTTCTCTGGTTCAATATAGAAGGCTTGTGTTTGCTTTGCAAGTTCGATGTCCAGTAAGTCGGATTGTGCAAAGGCCCTGGCAAGATTCCTGACGGTGGCTTGGCTGGCTTTGATCCAAATACGATGGTTGTTGACGGTGCGGTATGGTTTAGCCAACTGTTCGAACATCGCGTCCACAAACTGGTTGAAGAGCTGCAAGATAGCCGGGGTCAATGATTGGCGTAGAGGAACAACATGATCGGGGCCAAGCTCGGTCAGGCATCGAACTCTATGGGGGTCATTGGCCGCCGCCACCATTTCATCGAGGTCGATGTCATTCGTGTCAAACTTGGTGAGCGAAATGGTATCAGCAACCTCAGAATTTTCACTGTCGCCGTCCGGAACTCGGAAGGACACCGCGCCGAGTGGTGCTGAAATGTGGGTTGGTGGGTTGGTTTGTGGTTCCGATGGTGGTGGATCAGTAGGAGAATTGGGTCGAGCAGTGTGGTGGTCGTAGGCGTCGTTGTAGTGGCTTTCGTTCCATGTACCCCAGGTGTCATCAGCATCAGGAGTAGGAATGTAGTTCGGATTGGATGGGTTTGCAGCAGGTCGAAGTATGACTTCACGGCCTCGGGATCGGTGACGTGGTGTCGCGGAGCGTGGGCGTGGATGGGAGCGGTGACGTCGAGGGACCAGAGGAGAGCGGCGTCGTGGTGGTGAGCGTCGTCTGTATGGAGATGGTGTTCTGCGGCTCTTGTCGGTTTTCGTAGATGATCGATGACGAGGGAGAGGAGAACGAGGTCGCTCTGTACGTGGAGGAGAATGGCGAAGGCGATAGGAATGTATAGAAGGTCGATGGGAACGTGATCTAGGAGTTCGGGATCGTGGTCGGCGTGTTGGTGGTGGTGGACCGTGTGGTTGGTGAGGAGGAGCGATGGTTGGAGCTGGGACAATGCGATGGTCCTGAACGTCCGGTTCGGTGGGTCTGGCCTTTGGTGCAGGTGGAGGCGTGGCGATCAGTGGTGGTGTAGGTGTAGGTGGCGGTATCTGTGGTGTAGGATTCGGTGGATGTTCATCTTGTTGTAGAAGGAGTTGACGTTGTTCTTGTGCCCGTTGAGAATCCATGAGTAATAGTTGCTGAGCTTGGATAAGTCGAACAGATTCGGCCAGTTGTTGTGCGGTGGAACCCAGGGATGCAAGTTCAGGTGGAACGGATGAAGTCGGTGCTGTCTGAGGTGTCGATGGTGTAGCGTGAGGAGGGGGTTTCGGAGCTGGTCTGCGCGGTCGATCCGGTCTTTTGTCAGAGCGATGCCTGGGAGCTGCTTTGACTGCTGGGGGCCGTGGTGAAGGCTCATTTGGAGGGATCGTCGATGCGTCCATCTGTAATGGAGGTTGAATGTGGTGAGGTGGGTATGGAGAACTGGGCAAAGGAGTCGGTGTCATAGTCGATGTAGGTGGTGTAGTCGATGTAGGGGATGGAGCCGAAGTGGAAGGCCACGCGGGTGGAGCGGTAGGTGCCATAGGAGATGGAAAAGTCGACGAAGCGGTGTGTACCATAGTTGGTTCAGGAGCCAAAGGTGAAGGCATGGTGGGTACAAGTTGTGGACCTGGTACTGCATGAGGAGCCGAAGTCCATGAGGTGAACGGCAACGATGTTGGGGCGGATGTAGACGGCATGAGCGAAGCGGAGGATGACCATGTAGGATGCAAAGCCGAGGGATGTCCAAATAAATGTGCACTCGGTGTCGATTGCGGCCACGTCGAAGATGGGTTCGAAGGCTGTGGTGGAGCAGGCCATGATGTTGGAGTGTTCCACGGATGCATCGCTTCAGTAGGTCAAAACAAAAGTGGACAATTGTAAAAAGTTTCACATACAGGATTCAGTCCCTAACTACCTACAAAATCGTGCAATTATTCCCTGCACCGGGACCGTGGTCAAGTCGTGCCGCAATGGCATAAAACAGCTTTCAAGTTCCAACGAATTAGGTGCACAATATGTTTCACCTCACCAGACAACCATCAAAAGAAAGGATCACCACACCTGAAAGTCGTGTGCCTGCCTGATTTCTCTGTCATGATTTGATGCAACGGTGTTGCAAAGCAGCTGCAAAAAACGGAGGTTTCAGAACATTCGGAATGGCTTCCCTTGAAAGAACGCAGCACTGGGGTCCCTGGGACAATAGGAGCGGCGGGACATCACAAAAGGCGAATAACCGAAAGGCTGGCTGTTGCACTTTACTTAAATGAATTACTGAGTTGAAAAGTGTAAATTCAGAATTCAAGTCTGTCAACACTCACCCTGAAGAGGGTTGCCTCCAATGGCTCCATGGCACCATGTCGGAGCCACCATGGAAATCACACTAGACAAGAATGGATCATTATATGATCCGGCAGGAACTGAATCCTGAAACATGCAAACCAGCCTAGATTATTAGAAGAATAAAAGAGCCACTTGAGGTACTGCTTGAAAACGTTGTAGGGCATCCGATATTGTCAAACGTAGTCATAACCAGATTCCATAGAGTTTTGACCAGCATGTTGAAATCCAAAATAATGTTTCGGCGATTGTTTCACAAAGTAACCCATAGTTCGTCGGCGACAGGATCTCGGCGAGAATAAGTCAAAAAACATAATACTGTCGGCGATATGGTTTCGGCGAAAATCTGAGGAAGGTTCTGATGCATGTAAATTTCAAAATTGATTCCAGATTGCGACAACAGTGCAGCAAATTGTATAATATTGTGGTTGGGGTTCTAAGCTTGGCCCCTTGCTATGTCCGAAAAAAGCAGGTACGTGCAGTTGATCAGACTGCATATCCTCTCCAAACATCAGTAGCTTCGTTGGCCACGGACTGATGAATGGAGCCGTGGCCCCCTGCAAATTAGTGAAAACCAATCAGAAGTTTTACATCTGTTCAGATGGTACACACACACACACTCCTTTAGACACGCGCAGGGATACACCTTTTACACACACACACAGACTCTTTTACACGCAAACACTTCTACACACAGACACATTTTACACACATTCACACAGATTCCTTGACACACAGACACTTTTACACACAGATTTGACGATCGCGCGTAAGGGTCGCACGCGGCGCGTCAAAATCGCAATTCTCTCTATTTTTTTGAACGATCGACACTCATTTCGTGCGTAAAGGTTGGAGCAGACGCATCAAAAACGCATTTTTTCTTCAGTATCGACCATCGACCCTCATTTCGCGCGTAAGAGTCGCGGAAGACGCCTTAAAACACAATTTTTCTCAGTTAGTGACGATCGACCTTCATTTCGTGCGTATAGTGTCACGGCAGACGCATCAAAAACGCACAATTTTTGACGATCGGCCCTCATTCTTCCGTGCGTAAGGATCGCAACAAACGCATCGCTCGTGGCCACCGCCCCCGCCTTAAGAGAGAAGAGAAATTAGTTTTGAAATTAGCAGACGAGAGAAAAGACAGAGACAGAGAGATAGAGAGAGAGAGAGAGACAGAGACAGAGAGAGAGAGAGAGAAGAGAGAAGAGAGAAGAGAGAAGAGAGAAGAGAGAAGAGAGAAGAGAGAAGAGAGAAGAGAGAAGAGAAAGAGAAAGAGAGAGAGGATGTAAGATCAACTGACGTAAGATATGAAGATGTAAGATCAGTTGACATAAGATGTGAAGATGTAAGGTGGGCGGACGTAAGATGTGAAGATGTAAGGTCAGCTGACGTAAGATATGAAGATGCAAGATCAGTTGGCATAAGATGTGGAGATGTAAGGTCAGCGGACGTAAGATGTGAAGATGTAAGGTCAGCTGACATAAGATGTGTAGATGCAAGAACAGCTGACGTAAGATATGAAGATGTAATTAAGATGTATAGTGAAGATGTAGTATCTCAGCTGTTTTTTTCAGAAGAAGCATACGCTCAGGCGCTCTCGGGAAAAACTACGATCTATTGATTCTCAAATTACATCAAACTAACACTGCTTACCACTGCTCTAGTAGGAATCAAAAAAAAGACGCATCCTTGTTAGTAGCCCGATCACCTCTGATCTCCGCCACCACAAGCTCAAGACCTACCATGCCATCTGGTTCTTTAACAGTTTCCCATGGAAAATACGGAAAATCCCAATGTTTAAATGGGCCAATCGTCAAAAATCATGATGTAACATCTATGGAAAAATCGTGGCTGTGTAGAATAACCGGAAGATAGAATACCTACCAAAAAACACCATATGCCCACCTTTTGCCAAATCTAGTCAACCAAAAGACTACTGAAGGGGACGTAAGGGGCAAAGATTGACAATGGTTTCAGCCGTTTTCTTGGCCCTCCAGCGCTACCAAGGCACAAGCTGTCTGGGTCAAATTGTGGCAAGTAATAGGGTTGATCGCCGTGCAAGCTATACCTAGGCTACAGCGACCATTGCCAGAGCCTTTGCTCTCATTCAATACGAATACCTACAAACAAGCATGGGTATGTGTACATATATATATATATATGTGACATGTGTATATATGAGTTTTGAATAAATGCGCATAATGGGTGTTCTACTTATGTATGTATATATTCGAAGGAAGTTTAGAAGTCAAACTTCCGACAATATGGATGAAGCACACTTCTGACGGGTTCGGAGCACTTTTGGAAGTTGAGATGTTGAAAAAAGTGCACGCTGTTGTGGCGCGAAGCACCTTTCCAAGTCAAAATGTACAAAGCACCTCAGCCTCGGTGCACTTTTGGAAGTTGAGATGTTGAAAAAAGCACAGGCCGTTGCGGCGTCGAAGTCAAAAATGCACAAAACACCTCAGCCTGAGCATTTTTGGAAGTTCAGATGTCGAAAAAGTGCATGCCGTTGTAGCGCAAAGCACATTTCCAACTCAAAATGTTGAAAAACAGCACGTGCTTGGACCAGTTTTGAAGGTTCAGATGTCGTTTCGTGCGGCAGGCGCGAGGGATTGTGCACCTTGTCAAAGTGAGCGAAACGTGAGGGTTTTGTAGCATGTCCAAAAACGTTGGCAGGCGTGGGACATTTGAAGAAGATCTGCAAAGATGCATTTTCCGTGGCAGGCGCAGTATCAGGTCACGGCGCTGATTTCCTGAGAAGGGTTCCACTTTGGAGCATCAGATCTTCAGGTTTGCTAAGATGATTTTGCGTGACAGGCGCAGCACTGCGTATGACTTGGCATAACTTGTGTGTGGCAGGCGAAATGCATCGAAATGCTTTAGACAAAGGGAATGGAGAAATCGCAAAAGGCATTGGTGAGAGGCCGTCAGCTCTGCACTCAACTTTCCATTTTTGAAGGAAGTCTCGCAGAAATGCTTCGCTTTTGATGTTGTCAACTTCGAATCGCAGAATTGCTTCGTTACTTACGTTGTCAGTTCAAAAATTGAGGAAGTCTCGCAGAATTGCTTCGTTCTCCGACTTGCAGATAGACAGGCAGATAGATAGATAGATAGATAGATAGATTAGATTAGATTGGATTAGATTAGAATAGATTAGAATAGAATAGATTAGAATAGATAGATAGATAGACAACTACAACTGCAACTACAACTACAAATACAACACTACACAGCCAATAAAACTACAAATGCAAATATGTTACCTTACAGGACACTAATTACATTACACTACGCTCATTGAACTACACTACACTACTTGCAGTACACTACACTAGTTTCAGTACACTACACCATTTACAGTACACTACACTATTTACACTGCAACTAAAACTTTAACTACAGCTGCAACTACAACTACACCACATTACGCTACACTAATTACACTACACTTCACAACACTAGACTACACCTACAACGGCAACTACAACTACACTACATTACACATCACTACGCTACACTAAATACACTACACTACAACTTCAACTACGACTACAACTAAACTACGTTACACTACGTTACACTACGTTACACTACGTTACACTACGTTACACTACGCTACACTACATACACTACGCTACACTACACTAACTACAACAACAACTACAGCAACAACTACAACTACACTACTCTACACTTCCCTACACTACACTACAATAGACTGCACCACAGCAAACAACACTACACCATACTATACTACACTACATTACATTACACGACGCTCATTACACCACACCACACAACTACAGCTACCCTACACTAATTACACTACACTACAGCTACAACTCCACTACACTACAACTACAGCTACAGCTGCATTCCACCACACTACATCCAGCAGTTGTGGGTGAGGTGACCACTGCATCCATTGCAACCACTCCACACAACACAGCTCCAACCACCTTTCGGTCCATCAGCGGATTCGCTCTGCCATCCATGCATCACCACAACTCACCTCTCCTATTGCGTCCTATCTTTGAAACTTCCGCCACCGCCTTGTGCGGTACTACTGGTGTAATTTTGAATATATATATATATATATATATTTACATATATATATATATACATTTATATAAATATGCATGCATGTATATAATGTACACACACATAATGGCTTTGCACGTGTACAGGCATGTAATGGCAAGCATACGCACATGCACACAAGCACATCATGCTAACATATTCATGCACAATTCCTGCAAGTACACCCGAAGAACGAATCTGTTGGAACAACCCTGGAGCTGCTACGCTAAACACGTCCAAGGTGCTCTGTGCAACACCCAGTTGGTCATCGATTTGGGGAACAATATCCCCATAAGGGACCACTGATACTGCCGTATTCTCTATGGGCATCTGGTGCCTTAGAGTAACAACTTCAGCACGAAGGGGAAAAACACACACACACACACACTGGCTTGGGGAAAGTTATTGTTTCCGTTGTTTCATCTTTCGTCATATCTACTCAATTCCTTCGGCCCCGCAAACTCGGCAACAATCCGAAACGTGGTGCCCCCCTAGGTACAAGTTGGTCACTCATTAAAATCATGAAATATATAAACATATCTATTCATTATTATCATTCAAAACCACAAGATTCACCGAGCAAGGCAAGGCAAACCCCACTGGGATATGCCAGGTGTCTTTACGCTATCACCATTCACCCGGGCTTGCGCCACCTTGGCAGATCAAGAGGCTCGTTTTCCGGGACCGGGTATATGAATCCGACCATGGAAAATCATCATGGAACAAATCACCATTTTTCATTCATAGGTAAGTCATCATAAATCATCATTTTTATCAAAATAAATCAAATTTCTATCATCATACTTGTCATCTATTTCTATGAGCTTTCTATGGGCTGTTTTCACATGCCGCCACCTCCAATCAGGTTCGCCTCTGGGCCCCACACGGCCTGACCCACTGGACTGAAGGTCAAGGATCGAATCCTCGATTCACTGGGCGGGAGAAATGAGAATCGGTGAAAAAAAACCATGGTTTCTACCAAGCAGGTTGGGGAGTCCTCCAAATGTTCTCCTCAATTCTGGGATTGATCCTTCACAAATCTACATCACTGAAGTCATAATGTAATAAAATACACTAAAACGAGCTATAAAAAGATAGATGGAGCGAAGTGTTTTCGTAGTACATTAGATTGGATAGAGGTTGGTTCGGGATCGGGTTAGGTAGATTAGATCATACTGAACGGATAGATTGATATGCGCATATATTAGGCAATTGGTTGTATAGTATAGGCACATATGTAGTATGTAAAGTTTCGTCATATCTAAAAACGAATAGAGAGAGAGATATATATATATATATATGTATCATTATCAGTCAATATATAATATATTTTAAAATATAATTATATACTAGTTTTCAGCTGTAAACATGTATGACAATATATCAATGAGCCAAACAAAAAGTCCGTGCAGTGTATTAGTTCCAGGGAGCTCATGGAATTCTAAAAAAAAGAACGATACGCTACCAACAACTATGCGTCACAATATTTGACAACACGCAAATTAAAACAAGCAAAGCAAACAAACAGAACAAGCAAACAAACAAAGCAAAAAACAAAAACAAAACAAACAAGCAAACAGAAATACCAACCAACTAACTAACTAACTCACTCACTCACTCACTCACTAACTGCAACTAAACTAACTAACTAACGGACGAACGAACTAACTAATTGCAACTAAACTAACAAACTAACAAACTAGCAAACTAACTAACTAACAAACAAACTAACTAGCTAACTAACTAACTATCTAACTAACTAACTAACTAACCAACCAACCAACCAACCAACTAACTAACTAAGACTAACTAACTGACTAACTGACTAACTAACTAACCAACCAACCAACCAACTAACTAACTAACTGCAACTAAACTAACTAACTAACTAACTAACTAACTAACTAAGTAACTAACTAACTAACTAACTAACTAACTAACTAACTAACTAACTAACTAACTAACTAACTAACTAACTAACTAACTAACTAACTAACTTTCGATCTATCTAGCGAACTAACGACCCAATAAGCCAAAATTCACTGACACAGCGAGCAAGAGTCAGAATAACTAGGAATGCAGGCAGTGGTGGCTAGATGATAGATGATATGATGATATATCTGAATCTGCCTGAAAATAGGGTACCCTTAAATGCACTGGTCAATCATCACTTTCTCTAACAACAATCACATCAATAAATGGGGTATACCTCATTTCAATCAAACCTTGAGGTGCCTGAAACTTTCGGAATTTACCCCACAACAACCACCACATGGGGCCTAAACCCAGATATCATGAGGTGTTGGTTGTATCCCTTGATATCCCCATGACATGCCAAGAAAATATCATCATTACCGGTGATAAACCCAATAGTCAACCATCCTGAAAATCAGCATGTTTAATATGATAAAAACCTGTTCCCAATTTTTCCCAAAAGGCTATGTTGCATTTTTTGTTGCCCCTATCTTCTTGCTGAAACAGCGGATGTTTCCCGCAAGCTGCAACGTTTGGCAAGCTGCCCCTCAATGCTTCCACAGAGTTGCGCCATACCTCCACCAAGGGAATGGCCGGTGAGCGCCAATGCCAAGCCATCCTGGTGGATTCCATGGCAATGGGAATGGAAACCACTGAAAACGAATGGAAATCATAGATTTTTCCATGTTTGTCCCATGAGATATGGGGAAAAACCCATGAAAAAACCCTATTTTGTTTCCGACTTGAAGCTCAACAATCGATTTGGCTGGTTTTCAATCCCTGACGATCCAAGTACACAAATTGGGCACCTGGTATCGGCAAAGTAGGTCCCACAAGGGCTAGCAATGCCCAAAAACACAGAGAGAGAGATAGAGAGAGGGAGAGACACACACACACATATATATATAATACACACACATATATATATATATATGACGGTTTGCCAAAATGTCTGTTCCTGGTCTGGTGGATAAACCGTAATTCCTTGCGTGCCGCTTCTTGTTTGCTCTTGAAAACTATGACGTATCTAAATAGTCTGGAATCTGGAACCCTGCATTTTATCTTTCATGATTGAAGCCGTAGCTAAAACATGCAGTAAATGCCAACGCGCGTCTATATGAAGTGCGTGCCGCTGCTAGTGATTAGTGGTGGAACTGGAATATTTTCATCTGCTGCAGGGCTTGTCGTTGCCTTTGCTGTCGCTGTTGCTTTTGTCAAGCAGACAGGATTAACTACAAGTTCTCTGGTGGCGACTGGGTCACTGGTCAACCTAAGAAATTCACTAAGACATCCTTAGGTTCAGGGAGCTAAGTGTTTCATCTTGACGTTTCATGTTGAAATAACAAGCAAACAGGAACACACACACACCCAAATATCCTTGAACACGAGTGTGAAAAAAAACTAGCGCAAACCTAGCGGTTTGCTAGCGCTGCCTTGCAGAATTGGTGAATTTAGTTGCGTACCGCCTCATCACGAAAAGGAAAAAACCACTAGATCCACACTAATTATCAACAACTGGTACGAGACTTCTGTCAACTATTTTTGGCAAATTGTCATATATAATATATACATTCATTATTTAACATTTTTTATTTATAATTATTTATATTTATTCATTTCTTAAGCAGCAATAAAGGAAATTTCGAGAAAGGGAAGATGCATGAAGAACCTATAAAGACAAGGGAGAGCCTATAGGAACGGCCTCTGACCGCCTGGCTGGCTCGCCTCCGTGATCTCTTAGAAGTCTTTGTCCTTGACATTTCATGCTCTCGACATCCTTGTCTGATGCTGCCAATGTCTCTTGATGTGGCTTGCGCTTGTCATCTTTGAATCTTGACAACCCTTCCTGTTGCCCGCTGTTTGTCTGGACTTTTTTTTGGTTCTCCCTGACATCTTTCTATTGACATCCTTGTCTGATGATGTCACTTTCTCTGGATCCGGTTTGCGCTTGTCATCTCTGACTGTTGACAGCCTCTTTCTTGTTGACAGCTCTGAAGCCCTACTTGGCACACTCTGCTCTCCTGACAAATTTCTTTCACTACTCTCCACTGCTGTTTTCCTCCTTTTTCCTACTTTCGGCAGTTCACTACTCTCTTCGCTTCCTGACTCTCTTCCACTATCTACTCCTCATCACATCTCTACTGTTTTCACATCTCTACTGTCTTGACATCTCTACTCTCTTCACATCCCTTTGTCTTCACATCTCTGCTCTCTAGCCATTCTTCACATCTCTACACTACAGAAGCTTTTACACACAGAAGCTTTTAGACACAACGGCTTTTACGCACAGAAGCGTTTACACAGAAAAGAATTTAAACACAACAGCTTTTACACACAAAAGCATGTGCAAAAGAAGCTTCTACACAAAAGCTTTTACACACAGAGGCTTTTACACGCAGAAACGTTTACACTGCAAAGTTTTAACACACAGAAACTTTTACACACAGAAGCTTAAGCTTTTACACACACACACAAGCTCTTAGTCACAAAGGCTTTTACACAGAAGCTTTTACGCAAAAGCTTTCACACAAAGACGCTTTTGGAGAAAGAAACTTTTTCACAGAAAGGGTTTTACACTGAAGTTGAAGCTCCAAAACCAGATCTCGGCACCAAAGCCAAAAAGACGATTTTGAGGCACTTTTGAAAAGGAAATTTAAAAGGAACATCACCAGCGCCAAAATTGAGAAAATCTGCTGACAAGTCACTATCGCAACCTTGATGCAGGCATTCCAGTGCGATTTACGATGGCCAGCTGCAATAGTATTACGCACGCAGCCCCAGCAGCAACTAACCTACCTTTCTGCGAGAAAAAATACGGTTTTGTGCTATTTCTTGACGCAGCATTTCCACTGCAATCTGCAATCACTGCCTGGATTGCAAACATACTCATGAAGCAGATTGAAGCAGCCATCACAATGTGATCTGCACACCTGGATTGTATTTTACGATGGAGGACGCGCCCGAGCACCTGTCGTACAGACAAGATTCCCCCCATCAACACCTGGAGCCACTTTATGCGAGAAAACACAAAGTTTCATGCGATTTCAAACGTCCAAACATCACCTTGCAGCAGCAACCCCACTGCAATCTGCAATCACTGCCTTGCAAATCACACTATATAGAACTACGTCGGCCAGGGCTGCAAACATACTCAGGAAGCAGCCACTACAGTGCGATCTGCGCACCTGAACTGTACTTTACCAGCCGCGCAT